AAATACTCTTCTGTTTTATTTCATACTGCCGTCTAAATCCACTTTTTTTAGGATGCTTATTCCAATGAGCTGTTTGTGGATAAGCAATTGTAAATACAATATATATGCATGTACAATTTACACTTGCATGTCACTGATATGCACGCATTCGCGAGTGTTAATAGGAGTAGATTTAAATGACTACATACGTATGCTCTTCCAGACGTGCATTTATGCTTCAAAGCATACTCGATATTTCCTTGATGTTCTTTTTCCGATTAACAGACAGTGACAAGTTTTACCTTAAATAATTTTGCAGTAAAAACTGCTCTGGTTCTACTAAAATTACATGTTCCCTAACTAGGATTGTGCTTATTCATGGTGTTAAAAATGATTTTAGCCAGACAGTATTTAACGGCAATTTAGGTCAATAGATTTGATAATAAATATGGATAATAGCCCTGAGTAGATATGCCTTGATTGAATGCCAGTGAGAGAAGGAAATAAAAACTACTTATTGAATCCTATCACGCTTGTAATGATTTTAGCAACATCTCTCTGGTCTTTACCATTGTGAAAGTTTCATGTTACCTATCAGGCCAAATATTAAATTATTTTGTAGGAGGGAGAGTGGGATCTTGCTCACAATAATTTGCAAGGTCTTACTGGACTTAGCTATTTACCATTTTTGACCCTAATATTAATAAAACTGGGATGGCACAGTCCTAATGCTTACCTATTTATGAAAATGAGTGAAGTTCTAGGCTTCCAGGGTGGTTTTTGCGAAGTGCGAAGTGTAGGCTATGTCCATTCCTGCCTTCACCGATCGATTGGTGAGACGATTACTGAGGAAGTCGTGCATTAGCTACAAAGTTATTCCGGTTTTCCAGTTGACGAATCCAATAAAACAACCCGTAGCTGATTAATAAGTTAATTATGAGATCCCCATAGTAAGGCCTGAATTAAAGCACCTATGGCTTGATCTTTGCGGCAAGTGCATAACTGAACAGTGGACTATCAAGACTACAAGCAAATATCAATGTGAATTTGAGAAATAGGAAAGGGATTGAAACATAAGTAATAGGGTTGTAGTTTCTTTTGGCTTCTTGTAACCCCTAAACATTCATTTCTTTCCCAGGAGACTAAGCTTTTGTTTGGAAGTAGAGTTCTGTCATTCTATAACCTCATTTGCTTTGCACAATCGGCGAGTCATTTGTGTCTATCAATAACACATAGAGACTAAAAGTACACGTAGCAAT